GTTAATTTAAGCTAGGAGGTGTGATGGACATTGTGAAATGATAGGAAAACACTCAGGGTAAAGGACAACTGGGATGTGGGAAAAGAGAAGGGAAAGAAGGAGAAATTTTGTATGTATGTATATTCAGGATAGTTAACATAGTTGTTCAGCCATCTTCTATTTCTTTGATGAAACTGTCAATGAGTCCTTGATTGATCAATATTGCATGTCTCTGTTTTCATGAGAAACCACTTTGAAGATATCCATATGTAATACAACAAGCATTGTTAATTTCCTACCACTTTGTTTGTAAGTCTGTATTGTATGTACTGTTCTTTTGCTATTTTGTAAAAGTTTTTCTGTCTGTTAATGTTTTCCTCTTTTTATTTTTAAAATAAAAATAACCAAAAGGTTTTTTAAACTATCCCCTGGCTACACACATAAGGTAGATATGAAAATAAATGAATTTTGCATTCAGATATGAAACATAAAGGAATTTTGTATTTAGATATATATCTCTTAAATAGATATATATCTCATCATACATGATCAAATATCCAAAATCTGAAACACAAATTGGGGACAATTTTGTCCTAAATACTTCAGGTAAGTGATATTCAACCTGTTTATTGTAAAAAGAAGTTCTAGGAAAAGGAACAGTGAGAACTATGATTCCAAGGTATCGCTAAACTTGGTGTGCTCCAGAGACAGTGGGAAGCTCGTCTTGGCTGGAGGGATTGAGTCTGGGCACAAGAAAGCAATGAAACCAGAGCTATAGGCAGATGTTAAAGTCACATCATGCAGTACCTATAAGACTTTTACTCTAAATGTAATGAGAATGACAGTGAACAAGTAATAGGATTTGATTTTCACTTTAAAAATCACTGTCAAATCTTGGCAGGGACTAGACGGTGGGGTGGTGTATGAAAAAGCAAGATTAGAGTCAGCCAAGTGAGCTATTGCGTTGGCTTGGGTTAAGGTAGTGAACAGTGGAGGTGGCAAGGACAGATTTGGGATTTATTGTTTAGGTAAAACTGGGAGGAATCACTTCCATGAACGTAATGAAAATAAGTATCAAGAATGACTTTCGGTTTGAGGTTCAAGAAAGAGGTGAAAGGGAATGACTGTTACCAGAGTATGGAGTCCAGTGGGTAGCAAAGTTTGGTTGGTGGGATAGAAGGGTGTGTTCAAAAATCAGTTTTACCTTCAGCGTTAGACAAGACATGTAGCGATGGTAGGCAGTGGGTCATTATAAGCGAATGGATATAGAAAATGTGGTTTTTATATACAATAAAGTACTACTCTGCCATAAACGATAAACTTGAGACATATTTACATAAATAGATACCCCCTGAGACCACTCTTAAGGGAAATAAATTGGATACACATATGTAAATATCACATTGTTTGTTTTTGCCTATAGTTCTAACTAGATAGAATATTTGTAGGGGTCAGATCTACATGGTTACATTTAAGCCATGAATGGGGGTCATCTGTGAAATGATTGCCTCTGGAGGAATGGACAGAGAACTGAGATGAGAACCTCAATATCTAAAAACTAGACTATGACAGAAATTCAGCAAATACTGAAAATATCCAGAAAGGTACGAGAAAAATGTGGAGAAGGTGATTTCCTAGAAGGCAAAGCAAGAAATGACTGCAAAGAGTGGCCAGGTGTCACACGCTTCTGGGAATCAGGCAGTGTGACAGAATCTAAAAAGGAATATGAGGTTTGCAGAGCATTATGTTTTCTTTTAATTTTGTTTTTAAGTAATACACAGTGAAATCAAATTTTGTCACATAGTTCTATCAGTTTTAACACTTATAGATTGATGCAACCATTATTTCAATCATAATTAAATCTGGTTTCATCAACCCCCAAACCCCCTTGTGCCACCCAAGGGTTGCCCTTTATTTCCTGTGCCTACACTTCAGCAGCTACTGATCTGTGCCCCATCACTGCCTTGTTTTCCAAGAATACTGGATAAATGGACTCACAGAGTGCAGAACCTTTGATAAAATGCTTTGGTATTCAACCAAGTTGCTGCTTACATAAAGAACACTGCTTTTGATGAGTAGTGTTCTATTGTTTTGAATATCGCAGCTGGTTTGTTATTCATCCATTAAAGGGTATTTGAGATCTGAGTTGTTTTCAGTCTGGGCAATTTATGAAGAACTGTTAAAAGCATGTATTTTTTTTAACCAATGAACTACAACTTTATTTTTAAATTAATTTTATTGATACACTTTTAATGATAACATTCATATAGGGAATTTGTACCTCTACATAATACATATTGATTTTTCTTTTTTCCCTACACATACCCCTGCTCTCCCTCCAACCCTTCTGCCCTTCCTCATTTTCCTTGCTCTCCCCCACTCCCCCTCCCTTGTTCCCCTTCCCGTTTGAACATTTTCTTCCTTCTTCCCAATATCTGTCATCCGTTTGGGTCCTTATTTATGCTTTTGGTTTCTCACACAATATTTAAAGTTGTGGGTCTGGTTTATTTCATTTAAAGTATGGTCCCAAAGTGCACCCATTTACATAAATATGTTTCAAGTTTATCCTTCTTCATTATATACAAAAACTACATTTTCTTTATCCCTTCACTTATAAATATAAAAACATTTATATGCAGATTTTTGTGAACTTATGTTTTAATTCTTTTCAATAAATACCTGGGCCTGGACAGTCATAGGATAAGCATACATTTAAGTTTATAAAAAATGCCAAAACTATTTTTGCAATGACTATCATAGATCATTGTTTGTATTCATAGGTTTTTAAAATAGAAAAATGTTATTTTTTTAAAAAGGTAAAAGTCCAGAATTTTATGGGAAATTAATAATCAAATTCCATATATCTATGGGTCAGTGGTTGTTTTGTCTTGATATAGCTCATTCTCTACCTTAATAATAGGGAAAAATCTGAGAAGCAGAGGTATGAAGTAGTAGTTTACTAAAATGTCGCATCTCTCTACTATAGCATCCTATCTCTTTTAGGATCATTATTCTTGAGAGAATTATGTGATATTGGTAGTCAAATTGTTTTCTGTATACACATCATATTGCACAGGAAAATTTTTCTGAATTGGAATATTCTCTCTTATTAACCCTATCATCTTTGGAATTTTTTTATTTTTTTCTTAACTTCATATTTTAATCTGTTAATCAAAAAACTTAATGTTATTTATAGATATTCATTTATATGGTATAGGATTAGGTGTTTAAATGAGAGTACTTGAATTTTCATTTAACTGCAAAAATATCATTCAAAAAGAAATTTTAAAAATGAGTGTTAGACTAAACTCAAGTAGGTGAAAGCAATCTGAGAACGGATGAGTCGTAATACAACAAGCTCATCTGGGAGACACGGCTCTAGTGCCAACAGTGCCATAAATGTTGTTAAAGAAGTACTTCTACCTCAATCAACCTTTTAATTTTCTTCCTGGAAAATACGGATGTTGACTTGATGGACTCTAAGATATCAGTATGATTTTTAAATTCTCTGAAATTCCTCTTTACAAGAATGGCAATGGCAAGCAAATGTCAGGAAAAATGTTCCGTTCAGAATCTAAGGGTCTGTGTACCTCCTCCACTACAGGAAGCACAATTTAAAATATATCTGCCTAGGGGCTGGGGATTTAGCTCAGCGGCAAAGCGCCTGCCTGGCAAGCGCAAGGTCGTGAGTTCGGTTCCCGGTACCGGAGAAAAAACAAACAAACAAAAATCTGCCTAAAAAGTGCATTTTAATATATGACAAAAAACCAGTTCTCTTCACAATTTTAATCTTTCTTTCAGTTTTCCACTTTCACTCAGTCTTAGCCTAACCATTTCTAAACCCTAAAGGGTTCTTAATTTCAACAGTAAGTTGATTAGTATTGTCCTTCTGCAGTTTATTCAGTCACTCAAGACCTACTCTGAACATCTGCTATGAGCTGGTTATGCGAGGTAACCACGGCACAGTGGGACCGGGACAATGACGGATGCACCCTTGCACTTGCGGAGCCTCCAAGGCTGCTTACTGTCTGCCTGATGACCGGAGCCAGGATCCGGGAGATGAGGAACTCCGGTACTGTTGCACTTATCTAGCAGTTTCACGGGTGATGTATGCTTTCACAGCGCACCAGGATCCCAAATACTCCTGTCCCGCTCTTCCCTGTCTTTCTTCTAAACAATTTGAGATTTAACGCTAGTAGGAAATGAGTGAACGTAGACACTCTCAGGAAGAAGGGTATCTCCACGCAACACAAATGAAGAACAACAGACTCTAGTGGCAAATCAGCAGTTGGAGTAAGTTCCATATTTTTAGCATTGACTCAAAATATTATTTTATTTCTCATTTCCTCACTTACCAAATCATTGAATCCCATGCCCCTCTGCTCAAGACAACTGGCATTTGTGTGCTGAGACTTGTGCTTACCAGTACACCTCAAATTAGCATATAAACCAGGATTGGTAAATTGATTTAAAATAAAATATGTTAATATATTAAGTGAGTCTTATGTGCATCAAGCTGATTAGCATATCAATGGGGCACCATATATATATTCAGCCAATTTACTGGTTTTGCGTATACACTTTGCAAGGCTATTTTTAACAGTAGTTTCATGTCCCCAAAGACATTAGAAACAGATAATAATGTACGATTTGCTGAGCATAGAAATGTCAGCTGCTCAACAACCTATTTACTTTCTGGTCATTGATTCAATGCATATATTTTTATATCCTAAAAATACAATTCTCTCAGCTTCTCTAAGATAAAGGTGTCATTACCACTGGTGGACTCTTACATCACTTAATCAACTTAACATTATTTATGCATGTATTAGTATTTCAGGATGGTATAGCCACTTATAATGTTTAATAGCCCTCAGGCTTTTACTTTCATATGAACAAAGTGTTGATAAATTTCCAGTGAAATGTGTCATCCTCTCAAAGGGAAAGTGTGCCCATTTTTGACATATATTACCACTTCTCTTTTGTTATGCTAATAGCCCTTTTTTGCTTATTTTGGAAAGGGATTGAATTGGAAATTGTCAATAGCTGTGAGAAGGACAATGGTGGTTGTTCCCATCATTGTGAACATGCAGTTGGCGGGCCCCATTGTCCCTGTAACCATGGACACCAGCTGGATTCAGATGGGAAAACATGCATAGGTAAATTCAGTAAATGCCGTCCTCATTCAAAAATTGCTCTCAGCCTTTTCATCTTAATACTTATTGCTGTGAGAGCCACATCTCTTAAACTTCAAAAACTAGATTGAACAGTGTCTTTGTCTACTTGGATAAAAGTAAAGATTTGTTGGCAGAAGATAACACTACATTTAGAAATTGCCTCCAAATTAATGAGACTAAAAGTGTTTTAACAAAATATATGGGATTAATAGCTTTATTTCTGAAACATAGTCCAAGGTCTAACTTTTGAATGTAGTTTGTATCTCAACAGATGCTACTATGAGCCCTATTTCACTCTAAGTCAAGTAGAAGCTACCTCATTGCTTTGGCTTTTAACTTAATAATGGTTTGAAAGTTCAACTGGCAAGAACAGTTTGTTGAAAAAAATAACTATGAAATGATAGCCATTCTTTGTACACCAATCCAAAACCATTTCAATGGCTACCTTTCCCAATATTTTATTAAAAGCTATGTCATTTGGAAGACTGACCTCCCCTTAGAATGAAATGTTTAACTTACACCATTTGAATAAAAAGGAAAAGGAAAAGATTGTCTACTCCTAGTGGGGGTAGCAAACATCACACCACATTCTCGTGTGCTGTGATTCTGAGGATGCTTCGTGCCCCTGGAGCGTGGCTTGTCATCACTTAGGAATTATACCATCCTTGCTTGTCTTCTTCTGTGATTCTTTATGTTTCCTCTTTTTAAGATTAGTCTGAATGCTAAAAAAGCTTTTGTCTATTTTATGCCATTCAGTAAGTTGAGAAACAATAAAGTACAAATAACGAGGCAAAGCTCAATATTTTAAGTATTTGGCACTATTATTCGAAACAGTGAATCTCAGTGACTTTTGCAGTGTTCTGGTTTATTCAGTTGTGTAACTAAAACCACGGCCATCATTCTTATATCCTGGTCCAACATCGTTTCTACATCGTGTCAGAGCCCAAAAAGCTTAACCTATTGAAACCAATTGCTTTTCTAGCCCCTTTGTATGTACTTGAAATCTGTGCCTTTGCCTACCTTGCTAAGCTTCATCTTTACGGAAAATATTAAAATATTAAGCTTTATATTTATGGAAAATACTGCCTTCCTTCCTTCCCTCCCTCCCTTTTTTCCTTCCTCCCTCCCTCCCTCCTTTCCTACCATTTCTCTCTCCTTCCCTCCCTCCTTCCCTCCCTCCCTCTGTATTTACTGTTCATTCAGGTATTGGCTAAGGGAAACTGAAATTTTGCTAAACTTCAGATTTGCGGCTTATAATGTGATAACTTCTTTAGCTTCTAAAAAAGTAGAATTTAGTAAATTTTTTTTTCACAGCTAGAAAAAATAGCATCTGCCAGGGTCAAAATGAAAAAAATGTATATTTATGAGATGTCAGCAGTCAACATGATAATGTTACTTTGATTATGGCTTGTTTATTTCATTTTTCAACAATAAAAATGTACTTATTCTAAAGACCAAATATTCACTACTTCATTTGGAGTGCCCACATAAATACTTTGCATATTTGCATGGGAACAGATTAAAGCTATGGATGCTTTGTAAAAATATTTATACATGAAGAAAATGAAGGAATTTTTTAGCTTATTTCAGTATCAACTCTTTTTCAAAATACGAGAATGTGCAAAGAAATATGAAAATATGTCAACCCATTTTCAAGGAGTCAGTTGGTCTTGACCAAATGCAGAAACTCATTGCTAAATCCTAGATGTGTATGCAACACAGTGTGTATGCAACACAATTTGAAAGGAAGCTGTAGGTATGTGAAATGAAAGTATTTTTGACCAACCATAAATTCAGTAAATTTGACAACTCACCAGTTACTACAATTTTTTAAAATCTCTGCCCTAGGAAGTTGTATTCAGTGACTATTTATGTTAGAAAGAGCGGATGGAGCTTTTCACTTGGATGCTCCAAAGCCAGAGCAGAAATGCTTAATTTTTTGTCTGACCACAATTGGTGGCCCACTCTCAATTAATGCTAAATTTTCGTGTGCAGAGAACTGGTCCAATATGTTTCTATGTCATTCAGCACTTGGCATATTGACCAGTTTGGATGAAATACGATCACCAAAGGAGAGGAAAGTTAAAAGGGAAAATAAGCAATCAAAGATTTCAGCAAATACGATGTGAATAGAAACTTTTAAATGATTAGAGAACGGATGATGTGAGGGTTAAAGTCACAGGGCATTTGAAAAAAGGCATGGTAAGAATGGGGTTTTGTATGAACTTTAGATTGAAGATGATAATACCTGAGAAAAGCAAAGAATAGCCCCAAAGTTAGATTTAAAAATGGATCATTAAACAGCAAACTCAGGGACTTATTCTCCAGTTATGGGATGCAGTTATATTCCTTTCTTGTTGAGACCTGTGTGTTTAGAGGCCCTAGTTATATTTCAGAACACTTGTTAAAAATGTGGTAACTTACAAAACACAGGATAATATTTTAGATAAAATGAAGCTTAATTTTTAAAAATTTTTCTATCCTTTATGTTCAAGCTATTTAATCTAAAAGGCAAATAAAGTTTTCATGTAAGAAAAGGAAAAACATCATCTGGAGTTTTGTGAGTGGCACTGCTTATGACATTTGGCAAGGGAAAGAATGTTTTGTGTCCAAGTGACCTTCATGTAGATATTTTATGGTGACTCCTTGCCTTGATTGACTGGTTGTATTTTCTTTCCCTTCTGTCTCTTGTCTTCGTTTCCTTGAGTCAGTGCCCTTTCCAGGGTTAATTGCGACGCTGACCTTTTTTTTATCTGTGGCTGCTCATGTAGTTATAGAGCAATAGGGTTCTGAAGAGTCAGCGGTGACAGGCCACCCAACTCAATAGCTCAACAAGCAGAGAGCGTTGGATTGAACCAAAGGGTTAGAGCCAAAAACTGTGACCGTGTAATTCCCAGATGCCCAGCCAGAGGAAAGCGGAGGCAGGTATCTGTCGCTACATTTTGGGCATTATGTTAGAAATAATCACTTCAAACCTCAGGACAGTTACACTGTTCACTGGCTGAAGAGTTTCAGTTTGACATCTTCAGGTGTATTTTTACTTTCTCAGGGGTAGTTGTATCTTAAGAAGAAACATTCAGGAGTATAAAATTGTAGAATAATAGTGCTAAAGGAGGCTTAAAAATCACTATTTAGAAAACTATTTATCTGACAGTACATTCCAGAGTAGTGTCACAGTTACAACAACAGAAAACCCTTATACTAGTCAAAGCACCATATAAATGTGTAAGCAAATGCTCTCGAATATTCTATAGTGTAAAACATAATATTGAAAATAAGCATTCTGTCCTCTCAGACAGCTACCTCTTCTCTTCCCAGTGGCTCGTGAGAGAGGAACTTGGGAACACTCACTGATCTGAAGCTCTGGAAGAACACGCATGCTATGGAATCTAGGACTGTCACCATTTACTAGTGTCAGATATCACTACATGGAATTTTTGGCTCTTTTCTTTTTTTTGTTTTGTTTTGTTTTTCAGGTTCTCTGCCCATTCATTCAGATTACGGTTTAAACTGGAGAAATGTCAAGATCTCTTTTCCTGTGCTTATAGATGCATTTGGAGGTTACTTACCTTCTTTTACAATCAAAAATGGGTAGAGGAGAAGCATGTGAGAGAAAGTAAAACAAAAGGGGACCTCATTGTTTTTGTATTATAGTTCATTCAATGTCTTTACCACATGATCTGAGAGATGGAGGAGGTTTGACAAAGTTTTAATTTGGAAATGAGTTTCCTCAAAAAGTCTAAAGATTTGTGAAATCCCTATATTGGCAATAACAGCAATTCCTTTTCTTTTTCAGACCTTGATGAATGTGAAAAAGGAGAAGCCTGCTGTGCTCAGATCTGCATCAACCATTTAGGAGGCTATGAATGCAGCTGTCAGGAGGGCTTTTTGATCAGTTCTAAAGGTTGTGGGTGTGACGGTAAGTTCCTGAACACCGATGTGAAATCACTGATGTGATGGGACAGTGAATGGGGGAGAAACTCTGGCGTGTAACGTTTTGGCAGAAGGGAGGTGTGGATTTCCGTGTGGCTTTACCATTTCCTATGATATGAACTTGGGCAGCTCTAACTTTAGTGTGCCTCTGATCCTCATAGGTAAATGAGTAGGGTAATAGGGTTAGTGACTGAAATAGGAATGTGAGGTAAATTAGTACAGTGGTTGACAAAGAGAAATAATTGTACTGAAAGCAGCTATTATTATTATCATATTCATTAGTTCATAATCCCTTTCACCTAATTTAATATATAATATATTCAATATATTACATAGAATTATTTATATTGTTTACAAATTAGAGTTTCTGGACAGTCAGAACATACTGTTATAGGAATCATAAATATCCAGCTTTACTAGAATCAGAGAATTGATTATTGAAAATCATTTTCAATAGTTTTTTAAAATTAGAAAGCAGTAACAAAAGGATTGTGATTTATGAGCAAATATCTGTACCAGAATCCCTTCTATATCAGATATGAATGTAACTAAAGCAAGTTCTAAAGATGAGCCATCTTACAATTTTCAGTTTAATTATTAATATTAGTTCCCTTGCCTTTCACATGATTTTGTGCTTATGGCTTTTTATTTTAATTTCATGGGAGCAGTTTGAATTAATGAATGTGGTAAGTTGACTTTATAACATTAAGAATAGCTTACATGTGTCCTGTGATTTACTTACTGAAAAGTCATTTTAAACACATAATCTTTAAATTTTCATTTTGTGATCATCATTATTATTAAATTGAACTATATTTTCCTCAAAATCAAAGCAAAGATCAGAAGATTGATATCTACCCCAATACCAGATAAAATATGTAACTTCAATGTGTCAGAGAAAATTGAGTTTCTTAGCCAAAAAAAAAAAAAAAGTCTGCCTTCTGTTCAGGATGATAAGTGTATTTTTTCATATACCTAGCCAAGCATCCTTCACATTCCAGTAAAGATAACTGGACAACACACACAGCTATGATATTTCTATATGCTAAACACAGTGGAGTATATTACCATTTATGATATTCCAACCAATTAACAGAGCCAACAAAAATTTGTGAATTTATGTACCATCTGCTCTTAAGCAGATTGAGCCAAAAAATAATCGTATCGCATAAATATACATACTCTCATGCACATATCTAAATAGAAAACTTGTCTACAACCTAAGGTTACGCTTAGAAATTCAGCCTCATTTCGGAACTTTTAGTTCTTCTTGTACATACCCACTGGCCAAAGTCTAACGCAATGTGTGCAAGTCACGTGAGGCCCAGGCTTAGAAGCTCCCCGTGTCTAACATTCTCCACAAGCCTTACAGAGAACTATCCACAGAATAAGCATTCTGCTACATATTTGAATTCGAGAGCGAGTGAACTACAAAACGATGGACAGCCTAGAACCATTGCACTGAAGTTTTATGCTCTTCTTCTAGACAGCCTTGCTTGTGTAGACGGATGCAGTATGTCTAGAAATAAGAGAGACATACATAACTGGCAAGGGGCACATGGCTGAGAATTTGGTGCTTGCTAGACAGCAAGCATGTTCTTACTGATTAATAAAAGTCACAAAAAGGACTCAAAAGGCAGATATTGTTCAAATTTTCCAAGATGTAGATGAATGTCTATATAAGTACGTATCTGTGATCAGTTATGTATCAATACAGAGGGAACATATAACTGTTCTTTATAGAAGGCTCAGAACTGGCAGAGACATGAAAACTGCACAGGTCACTGAGGAATGTGGTGTCTTGTTCTTCAGGAACACCGGAGACCGCCTATTCCCTAAATCTGCCTGCCTTCCCTTTCTCTCTACAGACTGGAATCATTCTTCCTTTATCTTTTTTTCTCTCTGCCACAGCAGTGCCTCACCTTCATTTACAGCAGACTTTGAAATGGCCTTCTCAGAGCGCCTTTCCTCTCTGTCACCCTCTGCCCAGCTGTCTAGTTCAAACTCTCATTTCCCTCTCAGCTCGTTCTCTGTCTCCTCCCTCTAACCAGTACATTGAAACCCAACTTTTCTCTCTGTGGTCTTAGCTTTAGATGACGATGAGCCAGAGAAAGAACTGGAAGTCGTGCAGTTTCCAGGCTTTCTATTCAAAGCCCACCTCAACTGCCTCAGTGTGTCATTGCCTCTCTGCCTCCCTTGTATGAAGTCAAAGAAGCTGAGGAAGAAGAGGAAAGAGATTTACAAGAATGCCCTGTTTTGCACAAAGTTGGCGAGTCAAAGAATGTATCTCATTATACCCACCCCTCATTTTTATTCAATTCATATCTTGTTATAGACAATTTTATTATCAACATTTAAAGCCTTCACATATTTTAACCTAGAGCTCATAAGAAAAATGGGGCAAAAGTCACTTCTTCAGAGCTTCATATCAAACCTGTCATTTTTTGTCTTTCCTCCTTCTACACAATTATGCACATACATATGTGGAAATGCGTATTAGGGAGAAGAATTGGGAACTTTTATTTTTTCATATTATTAAAACTCTACTAGAAGTCTCTTATGTAAGTAAAATTTACTTTAAGTATCCTTCAAGAATAATTTTCTTTTAGATTTTAAAATACAGAGAACCAATTGTTTACTATACTTATGCCTTGGTTACTTTTCTCTAATTGCTGAGACAAAATACCTGACACCCAGAATTAAAGAAGGAAAGGTTTATTTAGATCACAGTTTGTGGAGGTTTCAGTCCATACTCAGCTGGCTCCAAGGCAAAGTGGCACATGGCAGAGGGTGACAGTTCATGGTGGGGGGAAGATGCAAAAGCAGCAAGAGTACAGGGGGAGGAACAGTGGCAAGCAGCCTCTTTCCCTCCCTTACATTGTATGCAAACTACCCGCCCCAGGGCGGGTGTAGCACTCACACCAATAGTGCCAACAGTGGATCATGAATCAATCATAAACTCTAGAAGCCCACCCCATGACTGTATGAGGATTTGGGGAACATCCAGACACAAACCATAGCAAGAAAATATCTTCAGAATTTGACCAGTTTTTCTTACATAGCCAAGAAACAGAACTCAAACATCAAATAATTTCAGATCAAAATAAATTAGCACAACTTTCATCAAAAATAACTATATCAGCAGGGCATGGTGATCCATGCCTGTAATTCTAGTACTTGGGAGACTCAGGTAAAAGGATTGGAAATTTGAGGCTAGCCTTGGCTACAGACTGAGCACGAAGCTGGCCTGGACCATGTGGAAAGACTGTCTAAAAAGAAGAAAAAGAGAAAAGAGGGTAATGAAGAAGAAAAAAGAGTAGCTATTTGCCACTACTCTGCAGTTACTTTTTCTTTTCTTTGTAAAACAGAAGCTTCTTTCTTCTACCTGTATTTTTTGAAATTTAACAATAGCAAAGCTTAATGATTGCTTTAAGAGGCATTCAGTAAGATAGCAGGAATATTTTTATGCTATAATACGCTATCAGGTGTATGTCTCTGTGATGAAATACTGACATGCACAATTCAAAGAAGGAAGGATTTATTTGGGGTCATCCTTTCAGAGGTTTGAGTCTGTAATGCACTTGTTCCATGTCTGTGCACCTACCGTGGGATGGACAGAATTGCTCACCTCATGGTGGCTAGGAAGCAGAAAGGGGGAAAGAGCCAGAGAGAAGAGACTGGGGAGCAGATGCAGTCCTGGCAGTCCCGCCCCCATGAGGCCCCACTTCCTGCTTCTGTCACCTTGTAATAATTCCATCAGATGATGAGCCCATCAGAGAATTAAGCCACTGGTGAATTTAAAGCTTACAGAATCCAACCGCCTCTCTAAGTCCCATCTCTGAACATTGCTGTGTTGAAGATCAAGCTCTTACCATATGAGGGTTTTGGGAAACATGGTATTTAAACCATTACACATAGTTAAATCATTATAACAATAACAACAATAAATGCTTCTACATAAAGTAAAAATACTTTAATGTTCTGAAATGAACTTCTGATACTCTGGCTGCTAAGATCATACTAGAAGTAGTTCTGGGATTACAAAGAATCAGAATACCAATCAGTCGGTTAAGATACAGAGTGAGAGACCCAGACATATCGGTTGCTTACCCCCATCCATTTGCCAGTACATGGGCCAGGCAAGGAAATCCGAAAGGCAACTGTTATGAAGGTGAGGATCCAGGCACAGTGGCTTGCTGTGCAGTGCTGATGAGGAGGCTGAAGGGAGAGCTCAGGGCCAGAGAAGAGAGGTCTTGGTGGAAGTGGCAGCTTTTCAATCAGGGCCTCCTCCAGGCCTCACCCTAAAAAGAGGAACAAAACTTGAGTGAGCCTAAAGTAACTGAATACAAGTCTCTCCAAACTTACTCAGAGTGAGATGATGTCCTTCAAGGGCAGAATAGAGAAATAAATCAATTGTGGTACATTTTTTCAATGAAATAAGCTCATGTACATACAACATGGATGAGTCAAAAAATAAGCTCATGTACATACAACATGGATGAGTCCTACCAATATTTTATGAAAGAAGTCTGACACTAAAGAGCAAATATTCTATATTTCCATTTACAGAAAGTTATAAAACAAGAGAAATTATCATAATGTGTTTTTCTCAGAAATAGTACTCAATTGGCTATTGACAGAATCAGCAATTAACCTTGGACATTTTGATGGCTGGTTATATTGTACATCTTGATCTGGGTAACATGTACTGGGGTTGTTTACATTATAAAATTGTTCTGAAGTATACACTTGAAATGTATATACTCACTGTATGTGTATTAAAATTTTAGTATAAAAATATAGTTTGAAAGCACTAAGTATAAAAACACCCAGAAAGGAAAACACTGAAATGCTTGGAATATTGGTTAGTATTGCATTCTGGAATCAATAGTGATTTCTGTTTTACCTGGTTGTTTTTCCTTTCCTAAAGACTCTAAATGAAGACGAGGCATGTCTCAGTGGTACAGAATATGCTTGGCACTTATAAAGCCCAGGGTTCGATCCCCAGTGTTAAAAAAGGGGAAAGAACTTTAAATATTCTAATACTATAACTGGAAAAATGAAATAGCTCTATTTTAAATGATACCTCTTTGCTGTTGTGTTTTTCTGGGACTCTAAGACATACGCTCTAGGATAATGGTTTTCTTTGGAAAATTAAAGGTTTACCGTCATTTTCAGTTATGCAGACCATTATGAGCCATCTGAGCCACGTTCCAGTCTGTTTAGGCGGCACCTTCAGACATGACGGCACCTTGAGCTGTGAAGGCTGCATGAATGGAGGCCACTGCCAGGAGGGAGGGAACGGCTCCTGCCCGGTAGGTTGGGCTGGTGTTCTTTGGGATGAAAGTAAGTGATGTCCTGAGAAGTGGTACAGACTGGCAAGCTGCTGGTGACGAGTTTTCTTTAATGCATGTTCCCCAAACTGTCTTGATAAGGTAAGCAACTGATCTGGGTGACAAACCAATGTATTTGTTGTACATAAAGAATGCCTATGAATGCTGAGATTTTAAGCTGAACATTTGATTAAAAGGGGGGATTTTGTATTCTCTTGGAAACCTAATGCCGTGTCTCTTGTTTATCTACAAGACGCAAAAGTTAATAAAGGATCCTAAAATTGTAGGTCTATAAAATTTTCTCCATTTGAGTAAATCATCAGGCCTGGCAGGCTATTCCCAATGAAAAACAAAGGAAAGGGTTTGTGCCATGAATTGCGGCACAATGAAATTTTTAAATGAGATTGCTTGCCTGTTGCTTGCTTTTGTGTTTTTTCTTTTCCCATTTAAAAGTTAAATATGTTTACACAGCCAGTGACATCGGTGTAATTTTTTATACATCTGTCATGTGACAGTATCAAAGATTTTCAAATATGATGCCATCCCAAAATCTTTTCCTTCATGTTGTAAATGAAGGTATACTTTCAGACGTTAAAACTGCTTTGCAATAAAATAAATGTATTGGTCTTTGTTTTCTTTGAAAACAAAGACTTTTTAATAAGTCTTTGTTGTATTTTTTTTGATAAGAAAATGTGTCTTAGGCTTTGTGATTGGTTTAGAAGATGGTTTCAGCAGATTTCTTCTTGCACTTCATTCATGTGGGTAAAAAGACCACAAATATCATTTCTTTTATAAGATATAGGTGCAAGACTAGGGTCATGACCTAGTAAAGACCTTGGTTTAGCCAAGGTTACCAGTGAGGGTTTGGGGAATCTCCCTCAAGCCTCCCTCTGTCCATGTTTTTCTGCTGCTCCAGAGCTTTAGGAGTACCAAACCTCCTGCACATACTGTGTGCACTTCTGAGCCATTCTGTGATAACTGTCTAAAATCAGGCTCTTTTGAGTCCCTTTTGCCTTTTAACCTAAGCACGGCTCTTTGCCCAGTTTATTTTTTCCAGCAAGCTAAAACACACATTACTTAATGCTCTACACTTTTCAGCTTTGTGCCTTTCATTAAACTGCTGTCCCCAAGGACCCGTTGTTACTTGTCACATGGAGTTCTGTATGATGAGCCCAGTCACATACAGTGATTTATCTTCCTGGTACATTTAAAGTCATTTTTCCTTCTACATTGGGTTAGCTTGCCCTGCTAGAAAGTGAATGTACTGGCCTGGTACTATTCATGTTTATTTATTATAAATTATTCCACAGTGGAGGCACTCACTGCCTGAGAGAACATACGACAAAAACAAGTCAACAAAACCTTGAGTTGAAGACTTCCAGCCACATTGGCCTGTCACTTGGCACACTCAGCTCTGTAAAATTAGAATCCAGTAAACATTATTGCATGATAATTAGAATCCAGTAAACATTATTGCATGATAATTAGAATCCAGTAAACATTATTGCATGATAATTAGAATCCAGTAAACATTATTGCATGATTACTGAAAGAAAGTACAAGCTGTGTTCACAAATACTTGGTTCTTAACCTGGTAATCTGAGGAATAAAACTAAAAATATCACCCTCAAAATACATCAGAATAAAACATATCCAATACAAAACAATACGGAAATATTAAAAGCAAAGAACCTAATAAAATAAAGACAACATGGTCCCTGACAAAGCTTTGGAAAATCTCTTAAATGCTCATGTGGTCCTTCAAATGCTACTCCTAAGAGCACAAGCTTATATCTTCCTATCTTCTTTTATTTCTTCTTGGAAAAATTAAAAGAAACAGTCCAAATTAACTAGCCAGATATAAAACTGTTCACTAGTTCTTTATTAAACAGAGAAAATATTTTCTTAAAAATCCTTATGAACCACAATAAATTGTAGTGATTGTCTTGGTTACTTTTCTCTCGTTGCTGAGACAAAATACCCAACGCCCAAAATGAAGGAAGGAAAGGTTTATTTAGCTTACAGTTTGTGGAGGTTTCAGTCCATACTTGGCTGGCTCTGAGGCAAAAGGTAGCAAAGCA